CTTTGCAGAGTCAGTTCTTTCCTTCCACCATTATGTGGGGTAGAACTCAGGTCCCCAGGCTTGTGCAGCTAGTCCCTTGCCTTAATCTGTGGGGCCGTCTTCCCAGCCCCCAATCTTTTTTTTTTTTCTTACTAATGCTTCAATGATGTAGATGTTAGATCTTGACATACTGTCTCCCAAACCCCTGAGTTTCCATTTAAAATTTTCTCTTGCGAGAAATACTACATTTTTAGGTTCACTTACTCCCCTCCCCTTTTTTTAAAAAAAGAAAAAAACCCCACGAAGTCTTGTTATGTGGCACAGGCTGGCTTGGAACTCACTGCAGGACACACTGAATCTGAGTTCAAGGTCCTCCTGCTTCACCATCCCTAGTGCTAGGGTTATAGGTCTCTGCCACCACTTCTGGCTAACTCCGCTTTTTCCTTTTCTCATCTTATTCTGTTCTTGATCCCATTTGGTGAGTTTTCCATATATAATTTTTCTCTCTAAAATTTTTTCTAGATTCTCTTGCAAAGCTTTTTAGTTCTTTTAAGAATTTTGATCTGTTCATCTGTTGTGTGATTTTTCCTGGAGAGACATGAACAAATATCTGTTCACCCCAGATAGGGGTGTTCACTTTTGTCTCGAGGATGGTTATAATGGCTGCTTTAAAGTCTTTGTCTTGTAATTCCAACACCAGGGTTGTGGTGTAGGGAATCTTTTTCATGTTGAACAGTTTTGAATTCTATACTGGACATTTTGAATATTATGCTCTGGATTTTTGGTCTTATTAAAATCTGTTAGAGAGTATTGGCTTTTATTTGGTTTGACAGTCAGTCCTGACTAGTTTCAGACTGTACTTTCTGTTCTGGCTTTATCCTTGGTGGTTATATCACTGTGTTACTTGAGTCCGTGTGGTGCATTTATCACTCAGGATTATCCTGGGACTTAGGTAGTAGTTAACATAAAGTTCTCCAACCTTTCTTTATGCTTCCTTGGATCTGATGTGCGTGTGGACAGCTTGGGCTATGCCCGGAACTCACATTGGGTCATACACAGGGTATTCTCTTTTCTCTCTCACTTCTCCATAATTGTTACACCCACTCTTTTCCCCAGACCTATTAGCTCCTACTTATTACCAGAAAGACAGGTTTCTCTGAACATTTTTTAGATATTTTTTTACAGTGTGATGGCAGCATTATTCTTTCAGACCTTGTAGCCCAAGGTTAAAAATTAGTATTGTTTCATTGTTGTGGAAATACAAAGTTTAAATAGTGCTAGAATTGAATGCCAGTGGTTTGAGTTTTCTTTGTCTTTAAAACTCTTTACTTATATGTATGTAGTTCATTCTGGCTGTTTCTCATGTACACACTCCCAACTTTGGGATAAAAAGTACATGTCCTAGGAGCACAGAAATCACTATCAGGCAAAATACTATATAGTTGTGCAAAACTGTGTAGGAAAAACAACTGAGTTTCTTCTACAAATGAATTGCAGTCAGGAAGAGAAGGAAGGAATAATTTGTAGATTTTAAAGGGGTCTTAGCAGCTGGAGAGATGGTTCAGCTGTTAAGAGCACTGGCTACTCTTCCATAGGAACTGGGTTTGGTTCCCAGCACCCACATCATGGCTAACAGCCATCTATATAACTCTGGTTCCAGGGAATCTGATGTTCCCTTCTGGCCTCTTCAGGCATTGCATGACACAAGTCCACTTAAAAACATGTAGGCAAAATACTCATAAAATATATATGAATAAGTAAATAAATAAAAGATTTTAAAAGGCTTAAAAAGCATAGAAATCAAATGTAGATGTATACCATAGCACCTTGTTTAGATAATGACTTGAATAAAACAACTGTAAAAATACACATTTGGCTGAGTCAAGTGGCAAAGGCCAGCAATCCCAGCCACTCAGGAGGCAGCAAACTACCCAAATAAAACAAAACCTGGGGTTGTAGCATAGTGCTTCCAAAACACACAGAATGTGACCACTATATCTGAGTTTTCTATTGCTGTGTAATACTCTAAAATGCTATGTCTTAAAACAATAGACAGTATCTTCAGTAAACACTGTCTTAGAGGATTTTTGGTTAAGAATTTACTCGTGGCTTGGTTGTGGCTTAGGGTATCTCACAAAACTGCATTCAAAGTGTCACCTAGGGGTGTGTTATTCTCAAGGATCCACTTTCTATGTGGCTGTTGTGGGATTTAATTCCTTTCTTGGCTGTTGAACTGAGGCCTTCATTTCTAACTTGACTGGAGGCCACCTTGAGTTTCTTGCTGTTGTAAACCTCTCCAAAGGACAGTTCACAGTGTGACAAGCTGGCTTCTATCAGAGGGAAGATGCAATGAGGGAGAACAAGATGGAAGTTAATGTCTAATTTCAGAAATCACATCCTATTTTCTGTATTCTTTTCACTAGAAGAGTCTTTAGGTGCAGCCCATATTCGAAGGAAAGGGTACATGGAGGCATACTTATCAGGAGCTATTTTAAAGGTTACTTATCACAGGCTGAAAATTAAATAATATTAAGAAATGATGATGGTTATTTTGAAAGTTATTATGGTTTTCAAAAATATTCTTTAGAGTTTCATGTTGAAAACTTTTACATGGAATGAATTACCATGTTTAGAATTGGTTTTAATCTCTGGAAGACCAGCAGAGGGCAGAGTTGGTATTGATATTTGAAACTGTCCATTTAAAAGATTAACATTAAGAAAAATAAGTAAACAAGGGGAGTCAGTTACCCCTCCAACCAATCAGGTGAATTTAGCTGCATGTGGGGGAGGGCCTAAGGATATATAAGCCAAGATACCATGAGGCACCTCTCTCACAGGATGTATATTTGAGCATAGACTATATTTGAGTATCCAGCACAGCAGTAAATGGGGCAGGGCTGGGGGGGGGCACCCATTCTTCTGTAAATAAACCCCCACCCTATGCTCTGTTAGCAAGCTGAATAAACTCATTAGGATTTAAAAAAAAAACTTTTACTAGGCAGTCACAGTAAGAATAGGAAAAAAAAAAAAATGGAGATGGCTCCTCTGACTGAGACGCAGTGGAGATCTTTATATTCTTACTATGAGACTGCCAAGATCCTGAAGTAAAGGGAGAAAACAGAGTGTTTTAGGCTGCACTGATGCCAGCTTTAAAAGTTTTATTAAGAAAGTACTCTCTGGTTTATTTGCTTAATAATAAAAAAAGTTATAAACTTAAAAAAAAAAAAAGATTAGGACATTTGCACCACTGCAAAGGTCTTTAGTAGCACCAGTTACAGTCACTATTGCCATCTCATTATGGCCACACCTTTAATAGCAAGCAGTCAGTTTTCTAGTCTTCATGGCTATGATGTTGTCTTTTAAGAATGTTGTCTCATCTTTACAAAAAAACAAAGTAAGTAAACTACATAGCCATGCCTTAGTACAGATGATTTCACATTGTATTCTTGGATTCTGGAACATTTTTAAAGAATTTTTAATGCTAGTAAAATATGTCTTACTCGAGTTTTACTGTTCTAACAATTTTAATGTACAGCTTAGTGGCATTGAGTACATTCACATTGTTCTCTGACCGCCACTACTGTTCCAGAATCATCCAGAAATGACTCAGTCTACCCACTCAACAACATAACTCTGTATTGCTTTCTCTCTCCACCCATGGAAAGCACCACTTTCCTTCTGTATCCATGTATCTGACTCTTCTGAGTACCACATAGGAATAGAATCCTCTACTATCTGTCCTTTTGTGTCTGGCTTATTTCACTTAGTATAATATCTTTGAAGTTCATTTATGTTGCATATGTCTATATTATCTATTTCTTTTCTTTTTAACAGAATAATTCCATGCTGTATTTATTCTGGTTTCTATTGATGGACATTTGTTTGTTTCTACTATTGGGGATCTGTTTTGAATAATGCTTCTATGACTGTGAATTACATAGGTATGGTTGAGTTCCTGTTTTCAGTTCTGTGTATATACTCAGAAGTAGGATTGCTGAACCAAATGGCTGTTCCGATTAATAATTTGAGGAATATTTTTCATAATAGTTATTTCACATTCTCACCAGCAATACATGATTGCCAGTTATTTACATCTTTATTACATTTGTTATATTCTTTCTGTTTTGTGAAACATAGTTTTAAGTAGGACAGGCTGACCTTAATCTTGCTATGTAGCCAAAAATGAGATTGAACTTCTGATCCTCCTACTTCAGTAGGGATTACAGTGGGCACTACCTCACCAGACTTTCTTTCTTTTATTAATTTATAAAAAAAATGACAGCCACCCTGATGAGTTTAAAGTGGTTTCTCATTGTGGTTTTGATTTGTGTTTCTCTAATGATTGGTGGTGTTGGACATATTTTCACATACTTATTGGCCATTTGTTGTTCTTTTGTAATACTTTCAATTTTTACTCGATTTTTAAACAGAAAAGATAAATACTTCACTCTGCCAAGTAGCATACTCACTGTCATGAATCATTGACCATTCCTCTACTAGTTTTATTTCCTTGACTATATTTGGAGCTTCTTGAGGGTCAAAGACTATATTTCTTCCCTCTGTTACCTTGGCGCTGCCTGAAACATAGTAAGAAATAAATCTAAAAATTAAAGAATTCTCTCCCTATATATAATGAAAATATATACTCAGGTTTAGTCCTGTAATTTTAATCTGAACTTCTCTGTGGTATAGAGGATTGCAAAGGAAAAAATCATTAGCACTGGTCCCTCAGTTGATCTCCTCATTTGACCTGTAATCGAATACTATTATTGACTCTTGTCCCCCAAACCAAAAATAATAACAAGATATTTGTTTTTGAGTATGACTATATGAACATTTTTTCTTGAGTAATACTTTCATATGAAAGTATATGTTTCTGCAATAATACTTTGAAATGGAAATATTAGTAGTAGTATAACAGAATTTTAGCAAGCTTAGCCATAATAAAAATGACAGTTAAAATGTTAGTCTATTTTGGAAACATGATAATTAATCTATGCCTTCTCTTTTTCATTTGAAAGGTTGCTCTTTAATAAAGACACAGCATGTAGATCTGAATTCAGTCCCCGTCCTGGTGTAAATGGAATGTGGAAAGGTGAGAAAAATGTTTTACTAAATATCTTAATTATGTTAACATCTTATTTTATGTTTACTCTTAGTCCTTATCTTTGCACAATTTCTTAAAGCCATTTCTAATAGACATGAAAGTCCCTTAAGATCTACTAGAGAGGGATAGCGATGAGAAGAACTATGACTTCTAGAAGCAGTTTAAGACTCCTAGAAAGGGTCCAGAGGTGTTGAAGCGCATCTCTGTAGCTCTTCTCACCTACCCTAATAACCCTAAAACTTGTCTATTTGTAAAAGCACATAACACCATTTTTTCCTTTTCCTTTATTTTTAAAGTTAGCCTACAAAGTAATGAATAATGATACATGTGTATCAATATACTGTGTTCTTATTTATCTCTCATCAGTAATATTTTTGTGTTGTGTGTCCATGTTTTTGTGGGGGGGTGTATACATGCATGTTTGGGTACGTGTGTGTATGTGTGTGCATATATGTGGAAGTCAAAATACAATCTCAGGTATTGTTTCTCAGGTGCCATCCAGCTGTTTTTTAAAATTTTTATTTATTATTTTTCTTTTATGTGTATGAGTGTATTGCCTGCATGTATGTGAGTACACCCGTGTCGTGCAATGCCACGAAGGTCAGAAGAGGGCTTCGGATTACCCTGGAGCTGGAGTTAAGGACGATTTGTAGCCGCCATGTGGGTACTGGGTTTTGAACCTGGGTCCTCTGCAAGAGCAGTCAGTGCTCTTAACCAGTGAGCAATCTCTCCAGCTCCCATCCAGCTGTTTTTTGAGACAGGGTTTCTTAATGGCAGGGTGGCCAACCCCAGGGAATGCCTCTCCATTGCTGGGATTACAAGTGTACACCACCACACCTGGCTTTTTGCTTTTTAGTCAGGGTTTATGTAGCACTGGCTGGCCTGGGACTTCCTATGTAGACCAGGCTGGCCTTGAACTTACAGAAATCTGCAAGCCTCTGCCTCCAGAGTGCTGGGATTAAAGATGTGCACCACCACACCCAGCATACCTGGAATCTTTTTTTTTTTTTTTTAATGTGTATGTGTGTATTGCCTGCATGTAGGTGAGTGCACCCATGTCGTGCAGTGCCTGCAGAGGACAGAAGAGGCTTTTGGATCCCCTGGGACTGGAGTTATGGACAGTTGTTAGCTGCCATGTGGGTACTGAGATTCAAACCCAGGTCTTCTGCAAGAACAGCCAGTGTTCTTAACCGCTAAGCCATCTGTCCAGCCCTGATACCTGGAATTTTTTAACTTAGGTTCTGAGGATCCAAACTCATGGCAGTTGTCATTTTTTTTTCTTGATTCTAATCATTACAGCGGGGGTGAAATAGAAGCTGAGAATAGTTTTTTTAAGTGAATTTTTGTGACGTTCATACAATATATTTTAATTGAATTTAGATTCTCTCCTCCATCTCTATTCCCCCCAACTATACCTGCCCAATTTCATGTATTCTGTTATATATATTAAGGCCTATAGAATCAGACTTTCGTCCCCAAATGCCCTTTGGTGTGGGTCTATCCACTGGAGCCTAGTTAACGTACTGAGAGTCCCATACTAAAGAAGACTGATTCTCCCCTTCCCAGCAGCTATCTGCTGCCGATAATTCCTCAGATAGGGTTGAGGTTTCTTTCTCACCTCCCCCCATCATCTCTGTGATTTTGTCATGGGACTTGTGCATGCTGTCACCATGCTGTGAGCACATTTGAGTAACTGTCCAGTTGTCTGAAAAACTGTTTTCCTGTGGTTTTTCAACATGTCTGACTCTTACAGTCTTTCTACTCCCTCTTCTGCAATGATCCCTGCACGTTGGCAGGCAGAAGTTTTGATAAAGGTGTCCTATTTAGGGATAAGTACTCTGTAGCCTCTTAGTCTCTGCACACTGGCCAGTTGTGGGTCTCTGGGTTAATCACCACCTGCTACATAAGGAAACTTCTTTGGTGAGAGTTGAGAGATGCATTAATCCATGGTTATAACAATAAGTCATTAGGAATTGGTTTAATAAAATACATATATATATACATATATATACTTAGCAGAATAATAATATTAGGCTCTCCCCTATGGCCTGTGACCTGTCTAAACACAGTTTCCTAGACCTGATACCAATGTCAGATAAGGGATCCATCTTATGAAATGGACCTTAAGTCAAATTAGGAAGTAGTTGGTTACTTCCATAATATTTGTGCCACTGTTGCACCTGTGGACATATTATGCTAAGCCAGTTGTTGTAGATCACAGAATTCACAGCTGGGTAAGGTTGATGATTAATTTTCTCTTTTAGTAGCATGCATAAACCTTCCAGCACTATGAAATATTTTTCAAATATTTATTGGCTATTTGTGTTTCTCCTATTCTTGAGAACTCTCTTATTCAGTTTATTAGCCTATTTTTTGATTAGATGATTTTTTTGGTGTTTATTTTTTCAGTTCTTTATTCTTGATATTAGTCCCATGTCTGATGTGAAGTTGACAAAGATTTTTTTTGGCCCATTCTGTAGGTGGTCTCTTCACTGTAGTGATCATTCCCTTTGCTGTGAAGAATTTTATTTTCATGTAATCTCACTTATCTATTCTTGAGATAATTTCCCCTGATTTTGGAGCCTTTTCTAGAAAATCTTTGCCTATGCATATATCTTAAAGTGTTTTTGTCTAGCAATTTTAAAGTTTTAGATCATACATTAAAGGTCTTTTGATCCATTTTGAAATGATTTTTGAACAAGTTGAATCATGGGCTCTAATTTCATTCTTCTACATATAGAAATTTAGTTTTCTAACACCATTTGTTGAAGAGGCTGTTCTTTTTCCAAAATATGTTTTTGACACCTTTGTAAAAAATGAGGCAGTTATAACTATGTGTGTTTATTTCTGGATCTTGTATTCTGCCATGGTCTGCACATCTGTTTTTATGTTTCTGCAATATAATTTGACATGAGGACATTTTATGTGTCTGAGTGTTTTGCCTGCGCGTATGAAGATACACCACATATGTGCAGTGCAGTGTACATGGAAGCCCGGAAGAGGGCTTGAAACTTGAGTTACAGACGGTTATTAACTGCCACGTAGGTTTTGTACCCTGAACCTGGGTCCTCTAGAAGAGCTGCCAGTGCTCTTAACTATTGATCCTTCTCTCTAGCCTCTTTCTTCAGTGTCTGTTCTAGTTAGCTTCTCTATTGCTGTGACAAAACACTCTGACCCATACCATCTTGGGAAGGAAAGGGTTTATTTGATTTACATCTCCCAGGTCACAGTTCATCACTGAGGGATCCCAATGTAGGAACTTAGGGCAGGAACCTGGAGCATAGACCATGGAGGATGGCTGCTTATTGGCTTGCTCCCTTAGCCTATATTCAGCCTGCTTTCTTATACAATACAGGACCAACTGCCCAGGGGTGGCACTGCTCACAGTGGGCTGGGCCCTCTCACATCACTCAACAATCAAGAAAATGTCCTCCAGACATGGCCATAGGCCAGTTCAATAGAGGCAATTCTCCAATTGAGGCTTCGTCTGCCCGGGTATGTCAAACTGACAACTAAAGCTATCTGGCACAGTGTCTTAAAGTTTTCATTGTAGAGGTCTTTCACCTCCCTGGTTAGGTTTTTTTCCTAGGTATTTTATTTTATTTTTTAAAGCTATTATGGATGGGCTTTTTTCCAATTTCCTTCTTAGCATGTTTGTTATTGGTATATAGACCATTACCGAGTTTTATATGTTGATTTCGTATTCTGCTACTTTAGTGTTTATCAGTCTAAGAATTTTCTTGTAGAATCTCTATGGTCTTTTAACTATAAGATCATTGTATCTGTCATAGGAATACTTTGCTTCTTTTCCTATTTGTATTTCTTTTATTTCTTTCTCTTGTTTTATTGTTCTAGCTAAGATAATAAGCATTACATTGAATAAGAGTGGAGAAAGGCACCTTTGAGAAAGGTCTCATTCTGGATTTTAGAAGAAATATTCTGTTTTTTCTTATTTAGAATAATGTTTGTTACAGGTTTGTCATAGAGAACCTTTATTACACTGAGGTATTTTCCTTCTACTCCTCGTTTCTTCAGGGACTTTAACATGAAGGGATGTTGAATTTTGTTGCAAGCCCTTTCTGCATCTCTTGAAATGGTTATGCAATTTTTATTCAGTTCTATGTGTGCTGTTACATAGTGACTTGTGTATGTTGGACCAACTTTGCATTCTTGGAATGAAACTAACTTGGGCATGGTGTATGGTTTGCTTTTCATTTTTATTTTTTAACTTATGTGTATATGTGTGAGTCTGTGTGTAGGTATATGCACATGAGTGCCTGTGCCTGCAAGGTTCCATACTCAAATTTCCACTGCTTTAAAAAAAAAAACCATACTGAGTTTCTTATTTCCAACATTTCTGTTTTTCTCAAAATCTGTGTTTCTTTGCTGAGCCTTTCTTCCATGTTACTGACTTTTTTGTCCATGTTACTGACTTTCTCATTGATTTTGCTTACTTTTTCCTCCTTGCTATTAGGTCCTGTATTGATTTGATTTACATGTTTGTAATCTCTTTTAGATTATTGATCTAAAACTTTTGAAATCATCATTTGGTATTTGGCCAGTATCAGTTCATATCTTTGAGTTCAGTAGTTGAAGGGTTATGAGCTATTGGGGGATGCCTCTTGCCTTTTCATATCTCTTGTGCTCTGTATTCGTATTTGCATATTTGTTGGTTTTAGTTATTTCTTTTGGTTTTATTTGGGGGTCTTATTAAGCAGTATACTCTTGAAGGCTCAATCCCCAGTACCAATAATGGAAGAGGAAGAAACCCAATTTTGGAAGTAGCTTCTGTTTCCACTTCCTCTGCCAGGAGCCATGGGGCTGAAATAGCGTTTAGCTTACTTTTTATTGGTATATCACCTGTCTTTCACCAGTCTTAATCTTATAGACTAAAATTAAATTATACCACACAATCTTTGTATACACACACACACTCACGCACACACGCACGCACGCACACACGCACACACACACGCACAAATATATTG